CCGAAAGAGGGAGATTCCCTAAAGCCATAAAGGCATTACTCGAGCTTCACAAAGCGAAGTTGGCGCCAGAGACGGATTGCAACAGCCGAATGCCAAAGACCAATTCTGAAATACGAATCCAGCAGCCAACTCGAAGAGGCAGCCTTCCTTCAATTAGTCTTCTTCTTCAGGTATTTCCCGGAATAGACATTGAAGTTGCCCCTGACAATCATCTGAATAAGTCAATTCCGTGATCCTTTCACTAGACACAGCAAGCAAAGAAGAGGCATTCCATTCATAATTCTATGGACGGGTTTTCTTAAAAGAAAGGGCGGAGATGCTAATCAGACTAGAAAAGAAGCCTTGACCAGTTCAAAGCGGGTACTTACTGTTGGAACAACGTAATGGACCGATCGGGTCAAGTAGTCGAACAAATAGTAGTGGCACGAAGCCCGATTCTCTATTTACGGAACTTTCTCTATGGCTGCCCTATATAGTCAAGCTTGCCACAGAGAAAAGAAATAAAGGAAGGAAGGAAGGAAGGAAGTGGGTGAGTCGAATAATTCGGGAATCGTCCTTCTATTGACGAAACGCAGAAAAAGGGTATTCTAGTTCCCCCCGGGGACGACAACTATTATTTATTATTGATTCTCGCCAGCATGCCATTAAAGAAAAGATAAGATGCGCTAACTAATGTGGCTCAACCCCCCACGCCAATACTCATCATAACGGGTCGCACTGAAGAACAATTGACTTCCAAAGCCGGTACCAGCATAACCCAAGAGGCGGGAATCAAAGTGAAGTTATTCAACTAAATTAGCACTAAAGGCCAAGTTTGGCTTTCTGGTTCCAGTCGGACCTCTAGTGGAATGATGGAAATGAGCTACTTATAAGATAAGGAATTCCCTCGAGGTTGAACCTGCTTGAATGTAAGCGCGAGGATTGTGTGAAACATCAAATTGGAGTGCTTTTTTTCTCAGTTATTCGGATTCATTGCCGCATTCAGTTGGTGTTCAGCGAGGAATATCTCCCTTTATTACCGATTTCCTTGTTGAGCATCTCTTTTTTTTCGTTAAGGCGCCTAGGAGCAAGCAATCAAAGAGGAATGCGCAAGAAGCCCAGAAAAGAATCAATGATCAATCGGTGACAGAGGTAAGGGCTGAAACTCATATCCCAAAAGCAAGCCCTCAGAGAGAGGAAGAGGTTTCTTATCTTGATTTAGGAATAGTGACTGGTAACTAAGCGCATCTACTACTCTAGTACTTACTAAAGGAAGGAAGAGAGGCAGACCACTCTCTTATAGCAGGAAAGAGAGGGATACATAGAAGGGGTTCTAATCTAGTCGGGATTGGTATAAACATACAGGGAACAAGAGGACGATTGAAAAATATTCACATCAATAGCAGAATCGCTTGAATCTACAGGGGTTAAGAGGCAGTCTCAGATGGGATTCTTCATTCAAAGAGAATCCCAACAACAGAAAAAAGGATTGATCAAATTCTATTGAGTCTGACTCATAGTGATCATTTATCAAAGAATGACTCTGGTTATCAAATGATTGAACAACCGGGAGCAATTGACTTACGATACTTAGTTGACATTCATAAAAAGTATCTAATGAATTATGAGTTCAATACATCCTGTTTAGCAGAAAGACGGATATTCCTTGCTCATTATCAGACAATCACTTATTCACAAACCTCGCGTGGGGCTAATAGTTTTCATTTCCCATCTCATGGAAAACCCTTTTCGCTCCGCTTAGCCTTATCCCCCTCTAGGGGTATTTTAGTGATAGGTTCTATAGGAACTGGACGATCCTATTTGGTCAAATACCTAGCGACAAACTCCTATGTTCCTTTCATTACGGTATTTCTGAACAAGTTCCTGGATAACAAGCCTAAAGGTTTTCTTATTGATGATATCGATATTGATGATAGTGACGATATTGATGATAGTGACGATATTGATGCTAGTGACAATATTGATGCTAGTGACGATATCGATCGTGACCTTGATATGGAGCTGGAACTGCTAACTATGATGAATGCGCTAACTATGGATATGATGCCGGAAATATACCGATTTTATATCACCCTTCAATTCGAATTAGCAAAAGCAATGTCTCCTTGCATAATATGGATTCCAAACATTCATGATCTGGATGTGAATGAGTCGAATTACTTATCCCTCGGTCTATTAGTGAACCATCTCTCCAGGGATTGTGAAAGATATTCCACTAGAAATATCCAATTTTCCTTAAGCATATAGAAACCTATTATTCAAATTTTCATATGTTGCTGGTTTGGCAAGTTTAGTGATCATGGCTGGCTCACCTGATCTATCAGCTGAGTAGTAAGCATCCTTGGGATAATCATCAATATCTCTTCCTATCCAAATGAGATTAGGAGGACGCCTTTTTTAAAGAGCTAGCCTGTCTTTCAATAGATTGGCAATTACCTTAGTCATTCTCTTATATAGTGTAGTTTCTATAGCAATGGGCCTCGGTCTAGTGAGGTTTTGCTTTTTTGGGAATCATTGCTAGGAAGAAGGATTGAATTGCACCTGGTTTGCTCCTGTTTGACTTCAATTACCATATGGAGATGGAGATCTTCCTTAATTATGTTCCAGCACTGCCCCTGCATTAATCAACCAAGTAGAAGTGAAAGTTTAGTTGGAATCCATCTAGTCTAGTAGTTTTTGACTATGAACAGCCCCCTGTTGTTGATAGATAGTTTACCAGATTGAATCATTTTTTTTTGCTTGGAGGACTTTTGAAATATTTGATGGACTGTTGCTATATGTTGTTGGCTTGATAAGATGGATAAGTGTGAGAACAATTTCATAACTTCTGTCCTTATCTCCTCATGATGAACCAAAACCGGCCTGCCTATTGGGCATTTCAAATTGATGAAAGTGTGGATTCTGCGTTTCTTAATAGATGCGTGGGAAAAAGAAAAACCTTTTCACCAAAACTGTTGAGATTGTAGGCGCAGCGGCTCCCCTAACCTTCTTGACTTAAAGCTGAGCTTCCAATCTTCTATATATACAATAGTCCTCTATGTGTTCTGCATGTGGTTCTCTCTTACTTGCTTGTTCTAATCTTCCTTTTTCATTCACGCCTTTTTTGCTTGTTTTGTATTTTTAACATGCATTTCCTTCGCCTTTTGAATTTTCAGTAGGGGCCTTTAGTCGTTGTTGAATTGCTACTACTACTAGTACTAGTCTTCGGTTAAAGCAGTAGGCAGGAGCTTTCAAATTCCTGGAAGTTTCATTCCAAGTTTCCTCAATCAATTGTATACATTCTGCATTCAGAAGCCCCAGTCTAGATATGGATCCATCCTCAAAAGTATAGGGCTTCTCCTTGGTTGTCATTAATATAGGTCTATGATCAGCCCTTCCAAGTAGTGGTAAGAATGGATTCAAGTAAGATATATTCGTTCTCCATGATACCTTCCCTTTACTCCATAGGGCCTTTCCCGGATTCTACTCCCTCTTCTCGATTAGACCAGGTAAAAACTCCATTATTTAATTCCAGTTAGATTATACTGAGCAGTTCTTTGAATGTAGACATGAGACGATCAGCAGATCTTCGACTGCCTTTTTAGCTTTATCTAGTTAAGGGTGAGTCTGATCTGGTTATAATCCCCCATGTATAAACATTCCATATCCAAAAACATTTATAGTTCCTGCCTTTTTAATGCGGGATAATGTTTGTTTATATAGATTAGAGATGTCAATCAATGAGCCAGAGTTTATTGGTATGCCCAATTTGATCCAGTAAGGAGTCGTTAGTTTCAGTGTTGGAAAGCGAGGCCTTCATTCTCTTCTTCTGAATCAGGTCGATTTTTACTTTCTTACATAAAGGGGTGTTGGAATGGGGATAAAGACTACTGAAAGCGACTCCAGTAGGTATCCTTGGCTTAATTGGCTGGGCTGCCCAGTTGAATTTACTGCAAGAATAGTCAATATGATGTTGTTCTACTATCCTTCTCATTTTCTTAAGTTTCCTAAGCCTCTAATGTTCTAGGATAAGTTTTTTCATAAGATAACCGGTTCATCCTGACCGGGTCCTTTTTGTCTCTTGAGTACTTTACAAAACGAAACAAATAGGGGAGGCAATTTCGATGTATCAGTCAGAATCACTAGCCATTTGGACCGATCCTCTTCCTCCTCATTTCTGGTTGGTTGGAAATTCGTTTTTCCCTTACTATACAAGCTCACTTTCTGATTACGAGTTTCTCAGTTCCGGGTGGACTTGTTTACCTTTGTCAATCATTTTTTCTTCCTTATTGTAGAACTGTTGAAGTGGTAGATCTTCTTGTAACATTTCACTTTGGTTATTCTTCATTTTTCATTGATAGAGTAGATTTCAACTTCGCGTATGTTGCTGCTTTCTTTCAGTCCTCCCACCGCGTTGAGAGGTCTGTGTCACCTCCCTAGGTTGGCTTCCCCTCTGTGTCAAATGGAACATCTAAATTCCTTATATTCTTTGTGGGATTATGTTCTAGTTGTTGAGACTAAACAATCGTTCTTTCTTCCATGGCGAATTCAAAAGTAAAGGCTGATCAGGTTGACTTCCGTCTGATTGGAATTTAGTAGTTGGATAGGTTGGTTTTGTTTAGGACATCATCTCCCGGCCGTATTCATGACAACGGTTGCACTTGAACGGTAGCTATTTATAGTCCAAAGCCTGTGTGTGCTGTATTATTGAACTCTTTTCTCCAACTAGGAGTTGTCAAATTGATGGGGAGCCTCCTGTATGTCGAGTTCTACATGGATACGTGCGCAAGATAGGTTTGCCCATGTATCTGTCGCTTTCTCCTCTAGGTAGAAAAGCCGGACTGAAAGTCAAAAAAAGGGGGGTTACTTCCCCCTCCCCCTCCCCTGTTCCATTGCTGAAACGAGGCCTTGCCTTATCTTTATTATATATATATATAATCAAGGACAAACCAAGATCCATAATACGAAAATAAAATTAGAATGAGGAAGAAAAAGGTGATCTAAGTCCATTATTCCTTGCA